GCTCTACCACTTGAGCCACAGCGCCACTTCCGGCTTTTTTCTTTTTGCTTATGTGGTGCTGAGGAATTGAACCCAGGGCCTCATGCATGCAAGGCAAGCGCTCTACCACTGAGCCACCTTCCCAGCCCCATATTAACTTTTATCTGTAACAATATTCTCTTCCAAGATTCCTTCTTGTCTTCAGATTCTAAGACTCAACACTACTTTTTCAAAAACACTTTCTATAACTAGCCTACCACAGGCAGCTTCTCTCTCTCTTTCTCTTTCTCCCTCTCTCTCTCTCCCATATTGTCCCTTTTGATTTTAAACAACACTTGTTTGGATTCTTTTCTAGTTTACTTACTTGTTTATATGCTTATTGCCAAACTTTTCTGCTAAAAGTTAAGCTTTAAGCCAGGTACCCGTGGCTTATACCTGTAATCCTACCTACTTAGGAGGCTGAGATCTGAGGATTGCAGTTTTAAGCCAGCCTGGGAAGAAAAGTCTGTGAGACTTTTATTTCCAACCACAAAAAAGCTGGAAGTAGAGCTGTTGCTCAAGTGACAGAGCACTAGTCTTGAGCACAAAAGCTCAGGGACAGTGCCCCAGGCCCTAAGTTCAAGACCCAGGCAGAAGGGGGGGGGCGAGGGCATTAAGCTTTAAGAGAGACAAATCTGTTCACCAGCCTAACTGCAGCATCCCCAAAGCCTGACACTCATTAAATACTTCTTGAAATGCTGAACAAATGCTGCCAAAAGACCACGTAAAATACAACTGAAAAATATTCAACATGGTGAAGAAAAGTCACTAATGACTTTTAACAAAGCGATCAAAAGTTATTAGAATGTGAAGAGTATATAAATAGCAAGCCATACAATGTTTTCAGAGGTCCATAACCTCTGAAAGACAAGAAGGAGTGAAAGAAAGCTTGATATGGAGAGATGATGTTTCTTCTTATTGCTGTTTTACCATGAAAAAGATCAAACTGTATTTACGTGAAACTGGGGAAAAGATGAAAATGTTGGGAATAAAAACGTCTCCTCAGCTGGGCACTGGTGGCTTACACCTATAATCCTAGCTACTCAGGAAGCTAGGATCACAGTTCAAAGCCAGTCAGGGCAGAAAACTCCATGAGACTCTTATCTCCAATAAACTACTCAGAAAAGGCTGAACTGGAACTTTGGCTCAAGTGCTAGAGCGCTAGCCTTGAGCAAAAGTTCAAGAATAATGCCCAGGCCCAGAGTTCAAGGCCCAAAGACTGGGGAAAAAAATTCTCCTACATGTGAGTTAGGTTGATAATGTGGTCTCAGATCACTGGACTGTTACCAGACTGAAGACCAGACTATCCAGATAACAGAAGGACATTCATAAAAAAGATCTGGCTTTGCTTTGTACACTCACACCCACTCCAGAAAGAACTTCCAGGAAGACCAACACCATGTTTTCAGATCTTTCATTTTCATGTAATTTTTATACTTTAAAAAGCTTTTGATCTTTCTAAAACCTTTGTTAGTCACATATATTTTAGCTCAAGAGGGCTTAGCACTTCTGTGGGAAGACATTCATTATTAGAGCTAATGTGGAATTAAAGAATTACATTGCATAGTATCTTAAGCAGAATAGATAATGACTCTCAACAAGGGACTGAAAAATTGTTGTGGGAACTTGAAATATACCAGAGGCATATTTTCCAACAGCCAGGCTGCCTGGGCTAAGAAATTCTGTAATTTGCCCCTTCTATCATCTTCAAGCATTTCAAAGCATTACTAGCTCTTGGTAAAATAGCATCATTGTCTCTCTCTCTCTCTTTTTTTTTTTTTTGGTCAGTCATGGGGGTTGAACTTGGGCCTGGGTCCTGTTGCTGAGCTCTTTAGCTCAGGGCTAGTGCTCTACTACTTGAGCCACAATGCCACTTCTGGTTTTCTGATGGTTTACTGGAGATAGGAGTCTCACGGACTTTCCTGCCTGCCTGGCTTTGAACCGCGATCCTCAGATCTCAGCCTCCTTAGTAGCTAGGATTACAGGTATGAGCCACCGGTGCCTGGCTTGGCATCATTCTCTTAAAGGTAAAATTATTATTTGGCTGTAATGTAGCTTGTGGTACAGAATTTGCCTAGCATGCACAAGCCCATGGGTTTAATCCCCAGCACAAAAAGAAAAAGAAAAAGAATACGAACAAATATACACTAAGACTGTTCATGTGAAGATTATCTATAATTGAAACTGGCTGCTGGGTGGAAGCTGATGAAGAACAAACTGATGAATCAATCAAGAAGCCTTTTTTATTTTTATTTTTTTGGTGCTAGTCCTAGGGCTTAACACCTCAGGCTCTGGGAACTGTCCTTGAGCTTTTTTACTCAAGGTTGGTGCTCTAATACTTGCACCACTGCTTACTCCACTTCCAGCTTTCTGCTGGTTATTTAGAAGTAAGGCTCATGCACTTTCCTGCCTGGGCTGGCTTTAAACAGTGATCTTCAGGTCTAAACCTCCTGAGAAACAAGGATTACAGGCATGAGCCACTAGTGCCCGGCTTAAGAAGCATTTCTTAAACAACTAATAAAAGCAAACTCTATGTCACAAGCTGCTGAGAATTTTAAAGAAATAGAAAGCTTAATCCCTGGCTTGCAGGCATTAACTATCTAGCTTTCACATACACAGTCCTAAGAAATACTTTGACAAATACAAATTTGTAAGATATTTTTCCAAAAGCATTCAACAAGTAAAAATCACTTTGCAAAAGGCAGACAGAGTCCTTATCAGTCAGGTAAATATAACCAATAAAAGAATAAAGTTGATTCTGTAAGCTAGCAGACTATCTATACACTCACCTGCTGAATGTCTAGGCTGGTAATATCCATATGTACAATGAGGGCTTCCACATTTTCCATTAACTTTTTATCTTGGAAATGAACAATTAAGTCTTTCATGACCTGGGGTGTGATCCCCACCAATTTATCACTTAAAATATATGGTTCAAGGCACTCCAAAAACACTCCTTTGGCCACTGAATTCTCACTTAATTTGTCATACATTTGGCTAAATAAAAGATCCCTGTAACAAAAAGAAAATAATTTTAGCAACATTTCAGATATGGGTTAAAGTTGGTCTGCTAAGTCTATCCCATCTTTCCCCTACTTCAAATTAGTCATTAATTTATTAAAAATCAGCAACAATATTTGCATAGAACTTTGAATTACAAAACCATCCATATATCCATACCTATATACATATATATATATACATATACACACATTCAAATATACTCAATCTTCCTAATACTTCTTTTACAAGATGTTGTGAGTGATAATGGCAAAAGTCTGTAATCCTACCACTCAGGAGGCTAAGGCAAGAGGATTATTATTTGGAGGTAAGCCTAGACTATCTAGTGAGACTTTGTCTCAAAATAAACAAAACAAAACACAAGTAAGAGAAGTTGAATAGTTAGATTGTTTGCTGACAGGCACACAGCAAACATAACAGAGTTAAAATTCAGACCTAGACTTCAGGCCTAAATCCCATGCACAAGTTTATTGTGGTACACAGCTTCTTAAAGGTAATAACACTAGCATGGGAACAAGTAAAAATAGACATGATGAAACAAGAAAAGTTAAAAGGATTATTCCTATTTATCTTTTCTTCCTTCTTAGTACTGAAGATTTCATAGGTGATCTGCTGAGCCAATAAGTTTTTATCTAATTCTAATCCTTTGCTTCCCAAAGGGATTAGACAATGATTATTGATGAGTAAAGAAAATGAAATTTAATAATTAAAATACATACCAGAGACAATTTTATTGCAGAAAAAATTAAAATTACTCTCAACAACTATATTTTCTTTCATATTTCTTCGGTAAGAAGTCCAGTTTAGTTATACTTAGGATATTATTCTGAACTCTGTTTACATGCAACATCATATGATAAACATTCTAATTGTTACTTTTAATTTCAATTCTGAAATTTTGCTTGGTTTATTGAATTTATAGTCATTTTTACTTCTAAATGACACATAATATTTACAGAATATGGAGTGATGCTTCAATGCTTGCATACAATGTATAATAGTCACACATGGAAACAGGCACTTCTATACCATACACCCTTGTCATTACTTCACATTAGGAATATTCAAAATCCTTCAACTATTTCAAAATGTGCAACTGTCATCAACCAAAGCTTTTCTACTATGTTACAGAATGATAGAAATTACTGTACCTATCTTAATGCACCCAAGTATTCCATGTAAGCCCAGAATGGCCTTGCACTCTTGATATTCTTGATTCAACTTCTTAAGTGCTGGGATTACAGGTGTACACCAATAAGCCCAGCTCTGCTTCTCCCTGTAATCATCCTTTCTCCACCAGCTCCCATCTACCTTCTTTCCAACCTCTGATAACCACTATCCTCTTTCTATTTTTATGGTATCAGCTCTGTAGCTTTCATAAACAGATTTTTAAAAAATATATCGCTCATTATGCTGAGCCTGACTTATTTTGTCCCAAAGGAAAGAATTTCATTGAGCATATACATTTATTTTACTCATTCATCCACTGGTGGACCTTCAGTGATTGCTTACATTGGCTGTTGTGAATAGTGCAGTAATAAACAAGGGCTGTGGATGTCTTCCACACATAGGCTTCCTTCCCTTTGGACTCATGTCCAGGAGTGGGAATTCTGGATCATATGGTAGGTCTATGCCTAGGTGCTTTTTTTAGTTGGGTTATTTGTTTTTTAAGGACTCTCTATACTGTTTTCCACCTTGGTTATTCTCATTGATATTACCCCTTTCTCTGCAAGTATTTCTTCTTTAACACAATCATTTTTGTCTCTCTTGAAGCTTCAATACGCAAAAACATCAGAGCTAGCTTAGCTATTCCTGTAATGCTGCATGTGTCACTTATTTCCTTCATTTCAAGTGATGCCACAATAAATATCTACATTGACAGCTTTTCTCACATAGGGGTCTTAATTACTTTGCCACTGGATTTTTAGAAATGTAACTTAAGTGAAAAGATACGAGCTATGGGTATATAGCTCAGTGTTACAGGGCTTGCCTAGTAAGCATGAGGCTTTGAGTTTAATCCCGAGCACTGAAAAAAAAAATGAGGGAAGAAGGGAGGAAGGGGAAAGGAGAAAGGAAACATGAAAGATTTAGTGTACTTCAGGTGTGTGTCACTAAATTATCTTCAAAACATATCACATTACCATTTATAGGCCACCGGCCCTCTTTCACAAGAAAATTATGAGATTTTCCCTAAGCACAAATTAAGCAACATCATCATTTTTAATTCTGCATCAACTGGCAAGATTGAATATTTTCCACTTACCCTTATAAATTATATTGCTTTGTATCATTCTATTTGTTTATAATGTAAAACTAATTCAATTTGTCTGTTACGACTATAAATTATTTTGTCTTCACATGTGATTCCTTTGTATGTATGGCATGTCATTTTCCATGTGGAAAATAGAGGTGGTTCACACAAACCACAGGTATCCTCTTTCATGAGGAGTTTCACAGAAAGGTCAAACAAGTTCTTAAAAGGAGTAGACAGGGCTCTGCGTCAACTCAGTCCTGGAAGGGAACTGTGCAGCTCCAATGACACGAGACTCCAGAGCCCCCTGTACTTTCTATAAACAGCATTTGTGACACCCTGGGGCAAAATCTATACCCACTTTCTTTCTTCCTTAAATGCACAAGTATAATTTTCCTGTCATTTTCCCCTCCACTTCACATTTATCAGAAGATTTTTTTGTTCATTTGATTTTAATCAATAGTCCATCACATTTTTGTGAGTACCAATTACTAGCTAAGCCAAAGAATCTGAGATTAATGAAGTCTGACTGCAAGAAGGAAAGAGTAAAGGACAACAAAATGACTGCAATAAATTCACAGAAACACACTAACAAAGATAATTAGAGATTTGAGCTCAGAATCAAAAAGAAAAATCCTTGGGGAAAAGAATTAAAGAAAGCTAAACAGAGCATAAAAGTTGACAGACAAGGTAGAAAGATGAATGGCAAGACTACATATTTCTTAGCCAGTCTAAGCTACAGTTAGAAAAACTTTTTTATAAATCAAGAAGTCAGTCAGCAACTCCTACTTATATAAATATGAAACAAAATTCTACAACATGGGCTCATCATTTGAAAAAATATTTTCAAAAGAGAAGAATGTGAGAGAAAAGTACACAAAGTAATTTTTAGCTCTCATGTTTCTCTCTGTATTTAGGTACTATTCTCCACTTGTTTCCTAGAAGGGAATAACTGTCATTTGCCATTTTGAGCTCAGCATCCTTTAGCCAGTAGACCAGAGAAGCCATCATGATCAATAGAGGGCCAGCCAAGACATCCTTCTACAAACCATACTCATGAATATTCATAATAAAGATACTTTAACTTAAATACAGAAAAAAATGGTTAAATTCACTTTGGACATTATCAACTTTGTACTTTTTTTTTTGTTGTTGGTTGGTCGTGGGGCTTAAACTCTGAGCCTGGGCACTGTCTCTATGCTCTTCAGTTAAGGCGAGCAATCTACCACTTGAGCTACAGTGCCACTTCCAGTTTCTGGTGGTTAATTAGAGATAAGGACTTTCCTGCCCAGGCTGGCTTTGAACCATGATCCTCAGATCTTAGCCTCCTCAGTAGCTAAAGATTACAGGCATAAGCCATTGTCACCCGGCTTGTATATATATATATTTTTGGGGGGGGGAGGGGTCCAGTTGTGGGGCCTGAACTCTGGGCCTGGTCGCTGTCCCTTAGCTCTTCAGCTCAAGGTTAGCGCTCTACCACTTGAGCCACAGCGCCACTTCTGGCTTTTTTCTCTTTGCTTATGTGGTGCTGAGGAATTGAACCCAGGGCCTCATACATGCAAGGCAAGCGCTCTACCACTGAGCCACCTTCCCAGCCCCCTATTTTTGTTTTTTTATGTGAAGCACTGCTTTACTTTTGAGATAATTACAAATCGAAAGGCTGAGAATATGGGCATCATCAGTAAGAATATAGCCAATCTATACTAAATATGCAGGCAGAATATAAGTGAATGTAAGTGAAACAATTCCAAGTTGTTTGAAGCTGATCACTTATAAAAATAAAGGCAAAGTTCAAATAGATTTTAAGAAATTATGGCCAAACTGCTATTTTCTATACTAATATAACAATGTAAGTTATAAAATAAAACAAAATGGCATGTATACTTTCCCTTTTATATTTAAAATTTTATATATAATTGTTAAGAAAATGATTATTCAAAATATCCAGCTCCTCAATTATACTTCATAATCAAGAACTGTTTCTCAAACAATAAGACTGACATTGAACAACACAACAGAACAATCTGTGTATAATAGCCCACTTCAGGTTCACTATGGATTTACCCAAAACATTTCAGAGCTACAGTCATTTGGATGCTGCTTTATATCTGCTCTGGACATTGCTTCCAACGCCATGAACACAAAGTCATTTGGATGCTGCTTTATATCTGCTCTGGACATTGCTTCCAGTGCCATGAACACAAAGTGGCTAGCATCCCTTACAGGAAACCTGTTTTCTTTTACTCTCTAACTGCTTTACTAGGGTTAAATTCAAATATGGTAACATAACACCTATTTTTAAACAATGCTCAAACAATTCAAAAACATACACTTTAGACTTTTCTTTCAAAATAAAACTGACAATATGGCTATTATATTTTACATAAATATGTACATATATAGTATATTATAAATTTAATATAAATATATACATGTGTATTTTATATAAATACACACAAATGTATTTCATAAATATATGTACGCATATATATAGTATGTAAGTATACACACATATATATCATTAGTCATCAAGAGTCTTATAAAAAGCTGAGCTATTGGGGCTGGGAAGGTGGCTCAGTGGTAGAGCGCTTGCCTTGCATGCCTGAGGCCCTGGGTTCAATTCCTCAGCACCACATAAGCAAAAAGAAAAAAAGCCGGAAGTGGCACTGTGGCTCAAGTGGTAGAGCTCTAGCCTTGAGCTGAAGAGCTGAGGGACAGCGCCCAGGCCCAGAGTTCAGGCCCCACAACCAGACCAAAAAAACAAAAAAACAAAAAAACCAAAAAGCTGAGCTATTTTATATTTTTGTCTAAAACTGAAAAAATATAAACAATTAATTGAAATGAAATTGTTATCTTGTCCATGTAATTGTAACCCCTTTGTACAGTATTTTCACAATAATAAAAAAAAATTGTTACATCAGAAATCTAAAGTATTAATCTTCAAATCCTATCATTTCTGACTTTAATTCACAAACGAATTGTGTTGTTGTTGTTGGTTGAATTGTGTTGTTGTTGTTGGTTGTAGGGCTTGAACTCTGGGCCTGGGCTCTGTCCCTCAGCTCTTCAGCTCAAGGCTAGCGCTCTACCACTTGAGCCACAGCGCCACTTCCAGTTTTCTGAGTGGTTTATAGGAAATAGTCTCACAGGCTTTCCTGCCAGGGCAGGAGGGCAGGATCGTCACATCTCAGCCTTCTGAGTAGCTAGGATTATAGGTGTGAGCCACCAGTGCCTGGCTAAAAGCCAAATTTTAATTAAAAAAAAAAAAAAACACCAGTTCACAAGAAACTGATTAGAATTACCTGCAAGAGAAAAGCAAGCATGGTCCCTACTACTGTAAAAAGAACTTTGCATCATAAAAGTTATTTGCATAATTGAATAAAAATATATATTAGTTCAGTTAACGTTCTGTCTGGGTATGGGGTTTTATGAATTATATTATGAGACAAGTGTAAGAAGGGTAATATTGAGTTAAGATTAATTTTGAAGCATAGACTATGGATATAATTGACCCATTCAAGAAACATTTTTCATACTCACTAGACACTATCCTGAAAATGACTATATATAACTTGTGGGTGTGCACAGAAGGAAAGAACTGGGAGACAGTGAAGGAAGGAGTGACATTGTCCAAAATGAAATGTACTCATTACCTGACTTATGTAACTATAACCTCTCTGCTCATTACCTTTATAATAACAGTAAAAAATTTATTTTATAAAGAAACACTTTTTCATGCATTTATTACATACGGTTTTGACCAAGTATGGTCAAAAAGTAAGGCCATTTTTAAAAACTGAAAGAACATTTAAATTCCTGCATACACAGTACCAGCTCAACTGATGGAGAGAAGCTCTGTCAGGCTTAAGTTATCATTGGTTGTGTTTAAATCATTGTGCGATCTGCTGCTTCCCTGTTTTTAATTTTGTGAAAATCTGTCTTCCTAAAAGCAAATGGTGACTCAAAGCAAAGTAAAAGTGAATGTGCTTAACTGCAGTAATACACTGAAACTCTGAGATTGTTGAAAGATGGTGTGATAGGACAAATGAATGGCATAAGCCCACAACAGTACTGATGTCGACGTATCCTAAGCCTTGAGGAGGTGGTCAGTGGCGGGCTCCTTGGAACCATATTTCTCAGGATACCAAAGGTCTCCTAGATAAAAAGAAAAGGATGGACAATAAAAACAATGTATTCTGCTAGAATACATTGTCAGAATATCTTCCATGTGGGAGGGTCACAACTATGTTAGAGTGGTAAGCCCCAAAGAGGTTACCTGAATCTGGAGGAGTACTGGAGTAGGTTTTATAAGATTTGTACTGGGGCTGGGCGCTGATGGCTCACACCTGTAATCTTAACTACTCAGGAGGCTGAGATCAAAGCCAGCCCAGGCAGGAAAATCTGTGAGACTCTTATCTCCAATAAACAACCAGCAAATGGGAGGGGGCACTGTGGCCAGGCCAAGATAAGCCCAATGACCAACTGAAGGGGGAAAAAAAGACTTGCACTGGGCATATTCTGAGCATTTCTTTTTTTTTTGGGGGGGGGGTCCGGTCGTGGGGCCTGAACTCTGGACCTGGGCACTGTCCCTCAGCTCTTCAGCTCAAGGCTAGCACTCTATCACTTGAGCCACAGCGCCACTTCTGGCTTTTTTCTTTTTGCTTATGTGGTGCTGAGGAATTGAACTCAGGGCCTCAGGCATGCAAGGCAAGCACTCTACCACTGAGCCACCTTCCCAGCCCCTGAGCATTTCTTAAGGCAATGTTAATGTCACAAATGCTTTGCTAATATGAGAACAGCACCAGATATAAACAGAACTAAGTCACAGAAGACAGTATAGAGAGTATTCACTTTAAGAAAGCTGTCATTATAGAATGATGCTATATAAAACAACCCTCTGGTTCAATTAAACCCAGGGAATTGATCACTTTTATCTTTATGATCTATGGCAACTCTAAGAAAAAAATTCCATTTAAGACTGATTACACTGAACTATTCCATTGTTAAACCTAATAAATTTTTAATCATTGCATATTTGGAATAGAGAAAACTGACAGATGGCACGAGAAACAAAGAATCAAAGTGATCAAATGGTTGGCTCTATCCTTTCTAAACTCAGACCCATATGTAGGATCTCAATTTCTGATTAAAAAAAGAAAGAAAGAAAAACCAAGATGGAAAGAACAATCAGGTATAAGAACTCAAATCTACAACAAATAAGGAAACTTTGGCCCAATACTTAGTTTCACTACCTACCCCTTCTTCCTTTTCTGGAACCTAAAAAGTAGGAATAGGGGAAGGCACTGGCAGGGGAGGGGGAGAGAAGGAGAGGAGAGCTGAAGAGCTGAGGGACAGTCCCCTGGCCCAGAGTTCAGGCCCCACAACCGGCAAAAAAAAAAAAGAAAAAGTACAAGGCAACCTCTTAGGAACCAGCTGCTATATGTAAATAAGTTCTAGAGTCCAGTCAGTGTTGTGCAGGTTTCTAGAGCTGTTTGCACTAAATTCTATCACAGCTTCTCTATGGAGTGGTATGTGCTAGTGGTCTAGTTTAAGAATACAGGAGCTGGACCCCTGTGCCTGACCCCCAACCTCTGCCCCAACAGCTTTACTAGGAATCTGGGCAAGTTGTTAAATCAGTTTCTGCCTTTGGAACATGCTCTATAAAATGGGGAATAATGAGACTGACCTCATTGTTATAAAAACTAGGTAGGCTGCTACATAAAATTATATATATTAATCTGACAGGCCTTAGAACATATCTCCTACTATTATATGAGTACGAAAAATTGAATTAACATGTTGATTAATTTAGTTACTATTTAAACCAACAAAGCCTAATAAATAGTTCACTTAAACTAATTTTTTTTTAACAAAACACTAAAAAAACGACTACTACATAAGCAAAATGAACCTAGCTTTTGGGGGTACTAAAGATATCTGAAATAATGTGGTTTTGGGATGGTTCATAAAAGAATACATGTACCAAAAAGAATGCATATGCATATACATACACATGCACACAACTCATACACTTTTTGCTTCCAAGATCTCTAAATAGTATTAGTCTTTTGTTACATTCTTTGCATCCATTATTGTGGCTCACAAGAACACATATATACTCATAAGCATCAGTTTAGGAAAAGTTAATTTTATTAGATTGAATGCTGTTAAAGAATCAAATATCTATGAATTTGTAGTTTTTTTTTAATTTAGGCAGTAGAATTTATAGAATTCACGGCAGAAAATTCTGCACAACCACCCCACTAGCAGAGTCTCTAGTGACTGAAGGTGACAGGCCAGGCCTACTCACTTTCGCTGCAGCAGCAGGCAGTAATCCACGATGACAGGCACTGTATCCTGCAGAGAAAGCACAAGACACCATAAGCCACATCCTGGTCATAGCCTCACCCACAGCAATAGAAGAGGCTGTTCCACTGTTGGGATGACACAGTGGACTGTGCTTTTGGCAAGCAATCCGGAATGATGTACCAATAACCTTAAATAAAAATTCTCTGGTTCAGTCATTCTACTTCTGGAAACTTCTTCTAAATACAAAAATGTTAATAAATTAAGGTGTTTGCTGCAGCCTTGTTACAGAAGGACCAGGAGAAGGAAGGGAAGGGAAGTAGAGGAGGAGGAAAGAATGGAATGAGATCCAATAAGCAACATGGGGAAATAGCTCATTAAATTTTGCTATTTGAATAAAATATTATGTTTATAAGTTCATAGGCTTATAATAACATTAAAATAAACAGTAGGTATCTCACAATTTTGTAAAGAAAACTTGCAGAGAAGAAAGTACCCTGAGACTAGAACTCGTCCTGTCAGTGGCTTGGTGATTAACTTGTTATATACTGTCACAACCATTCACACCAGCAATTTTAAGGCTGATTTAACTTCTCAGTTTCATAATATTTTGATGGCTTTAAATTCGTCATGTATGGACTCACAGAAAGTAAGTAGCAACCTATAATTTTGGCCTTTATTTTTAAAGGAAATAGTTTGAGGTAGAAACAATAGCTTATTATGACTGCAAACTGTCAAGGAACCAAGCATCAGATTTCAATAGAACTGATAAGCTTTCTGCTGCTGACAGGAAATTGGTTTCCTTTTTAAAATCCTAGGGGATATTGGAGGAGAGGGAACTATGGGAAAACATGTACTTCACGTCAATTCCTGTTGGACAGAAAGGTAGAAGCCAAGGGACCCTTCTTACTGGATAGAGAAGACTCTGAAGATGAGATGCAGTCCTTAAAGAAATACAGAGCTATCCCTGACACCATCCTCTTTATCATCAATATTCAATATTCCTAGTGAGCAGATCTGATTGTATGTCTACTCTTCAAACACAAGAACTAGAAGTCACAGGTTTGAAAAAGGTTAGTCAAATCTTGAGCTGAGCATATTAAAGGATAGATAATGGTATGGGAGGAAGACCTCTCTAGAAATGCCAGGGGGTTCTAAGAAACATCCTTTCAGATATACAAGTAAACTCTCAAGACTATCCTAGAGGTTTGTTAGTCACAGAAAAGCTTGGGTTTTATTTTTTATTTTTTAATTACTTTATTGTTATTATAGAGGTGATGTGCAGAAGAATTACAATTATATGAGTCAGGTCATAAGTACATCTCCTTTTGTACGGTGTCTTCTCCTCCCTCATTCTCTCCCAGTTCTCCTTACTGTTTTAATGCTGAAGAAGCTGAGGCCTGAGAGTCCTGCAACACAGGGAAATGAAGCCAAGGACCTAAAACCAGGCTCCTTGAATTAAAAAAAAAAAAATTAAGAGCCAGGACAGTGATGTACACTGTATTCCCAGCTACTCAGAAAGCAGATATCAAGAGGATCACTGATTGAGGTCAGCCTGAGGGGGAAAAGCTAGTGAATAAGTTGGGCATGGTGGCATACATCTATGGTCACAGCTACTCAAGAAGTGGAAATAGGAGGATCATGGTGCCAGGCTGACCCCAGTAAAAGTGTGTCTTAAAAGGAGTAATAATAATAATGATGCAAATGGTGCAAATGATGAAAGAAACAGCCAAAAAAAAAACTGTCATTTGAGAGAAATTCTGATTTTTCTATAAAGACATTTCCTTTCACAAGACAATAGAGCAATATTTCTAAGATCCTTAATGAAAGCCCAAGTATTTTTCAATAAAAAAGTTAGAGACCAACAATTTGATGATACTTTATCTCACAGAATATTTTCTTCAACCTTTCCTGGAGGGGAAAAAAAAAATGGTTTGGCAACCAAAACATGAGTTGGGCCAGAATAACAAAAAAAAAAAAAAAAAAAGTAGGGCTCAATTTTTGATCTCCAAACTTAAAAAAAAGACCAAATATATTTTTAATCTCTTCTTTAATACACAGCCCTAACTGACCAAAGTTGATCATTTATCTTGATAGATATTCGTATATATTTAAGATTAAAGATGGCAATATAGATTTTCTATTATGAAAACAAATTGAGTCTGTTATTGTGAGTGGCCTAATAAACCACTTTCCTGCAACTGTGATTATCTTAACATCTGCAAAGTGAAGACAGAATCTCTGGCCTTTCCTGTTTCACAGAAGGATCTGAAATGAAGTGAGATAATCAATATGGAGTCCATTCCTTTTGGAAGTAAATGGCATTAATTCTCTTGATTTATATTCATTCAGTCACTCAGGTAATAAAAGCCTGATTCTTTGAACATGGTTCAAAATTTTAACTGAAAACCATATGTGTATGTAAATGACATGTGGATCTCCATGGGCAGTCAGAGATAAGCAGCTAGTGGTCCTGAGCAGCTAGAGACACAGACATTTCTCTGTACGTGTACATGTATTTCTCTCTTTTTTCAGGTACAAGAAAATACCTCTCTAGGAAAGACATGACTCCTAGAATTGGAGTTAAGGGTGTGCCAGACAAGGGCAAGGAAAGCATGGGGGAGGGCAAGAAAGCTCCATGACCCCGCTCTGCGTTTGGCTTTAGTTACTGTCCACCCTGGCATGACCTCCTCATGCAAAGGCACCTTCAGCCAGCTGCAACAATATCATTCTCATGGAAATGTCAAGTGAAGTGCCAAGGAGAGTTGGCTAACAACTCACATAAAGCTTAATTAGGTCTTAGGAGATTATATTCTTTCAAAAAAAACCTTTTAGCTTGATTAGCATTTGCAACATATATGCCCAATACCATGGTTAACACTTAAACAACTGTCTTATTTAATTCTTATAACAGACTTGAGAGGTAGTTACTATCGCTTTAAAGTTGAAAAACTTGAGTTGTAGTACAGAACCATTAACTAGGAACCTTAGACATTCAGTTTGTCTTGGGTTAAGATGTCTTATATTATTAAAATTTCTCAAATACTGTTTCCATTATTAATTGACCAGCTTCTGAGTTTCAGAACAGTAGGCAAATCACATTAATGAATCTATGCAAGTACATTTACCATGGTTATGCTAAAATTAATATACTTTATTATCTTCCAATATAAATTACTTAGTACATTCTGTTTCAAAGTAATCTACATGAGAGTACATTGGTCTGAGATTACTGAAGAAAATTTTAGATGAAACATAGTACAGTGTGGGGTTAAGGTTCCTAATCCAGACAACTTGGGTGTCTTCTTGGTCTCTATCAGTTCGGTGATAATTATTTTTCAAAAAAGTTTTTGTTTTAGTCCAATACTGGGGAATTGTGCCTTAGCTTTTTTACTCAAGGCTGGTACTTTACCATTTGAGCCACACCTTCACTAATTCTGTGGAGCAAGTTCTATTGAGCAAGTTGTTCAACCTCTCTGCGTATGTATTTACTCATCTGTAAGGTAGGGGTAATGATAACTGTCCTCAGGAATAAGAATTTAAATAAGACAGCCATCAGGTATATAGCACACAATACCAGCCAGGGTTATTAGCATATGTGTTACAGATAGAACCGCTATATCTGCTCTCAGCTCAAACCTGATCAAGTTAGGATAAAACATACTTTCAAGGTAAAAACTGTACACAACACAAGCTTGTGTACTGTACACTCCCCCCAACAAATATTTATCAAGAACACTAAGCTAGATGTTGAGATGACAGCAGTAACAAAAATTTAAAAAATCAGACATGGTTCCTGAATTTATACAGATCCCTAGACTACAACTGAATGAGCAATTTTGGTGCATAGTATTTTGCAAAAAAAAGGATCTTAGTGAATCTGGGAGTGAGGTAAGCTGAGACCTGAAAATAAATAGGAGCTAGTTAAAACTAAAAGGAAATGAAGAGTCAGACACCATCACTCATTCCTATAATCCTAGCTATTCAGGAGGTAAAGCTTGGGAGAATCATGATCCAGGCATAAACATGAGAGCCTAACTAGAAAAAAATAAGATAAAGTAAAAACGGTTGGAAGTGTAGCTCAAGGCATAGAGTGCCCACTTAGCAAGCACAAGGTCTTTAGTTCAAAAACATATATGCACACATACATGAGGAATAATATTTTATGATGTAAGAACACCATGGATAAAGGCTTTGAGTTAAGAGCAAGAGGACATATCAAGAGTCTGCAAACTCCTGAATAGTAGGAATACAGAGAATTAAAGGCAGTTATGTAAGGATATAATGTGCAAGGCCTTAGAAAGTGTTAGAGAATTTAGTTTTACTCAAGGAACAAAGGGAAGTCCTTAAAATACTTTAACAGCAGGGAGCATCATATCGACACTTGATATGCATTTCTTTCTGGTTACTGTGAGTGGAAAATAGAATAAAGGACAGTAAGAATAGGTTCAGGGAGCCCAATAAAGGGGCTACTGCCATATACTTAAGAGAGCTGACGGTCACAGAGTCTAAGTTAGTGGTAGAACAGAAAGCATGTTACAGACTAAAGAAACTGTCAGAAGGGATAATGGACAGAACCTACTGAAAGATAAGAATTACTCACTTAGTGAGGGAAGGGGTGATGCTACCCAAAAAGAAATGGTACTCCTAGCTGGGCACCAGTGGCTCATGCCTATAATCCTAGAGATCTGAGGACCACAGTCCAAAGCCAGCCAAAGCAAAAAAGTCCATGAGACTTATCTCTAGTTAACTATCAAAAAGTTAGAATGGAACTGTGGCTCAAATGGTAGAGCTATAGCCTTAAGAGGGGAAAAAAACCCACATGGATAGTGCCCAGGCCTTGAGTTCAAGACCCAGCACTCTTCCCCTACCCCCCCCCCCAAAAAAAAATCCAAGCAGAGATATAAATAGGCAACACTAAACAAATCCCAGGACTTGAGCTAAAGACATTGATTGGATAGTCATTTCTCTCTATCGCCTAGGCAGAGGGTGTAAAGCAATGAAACTTACAATTTAGTGTGCTTAGGAATCATTTGGGGGCTGATTACAAA